ACCTCAACTAGAATAAAGTTTGTTTTTAAAATAAGAATTATAAGATTCATATTTAATTAGCATATTCTGATATTTTATCTTAAATTCTTCTTAGCTATAATTATTTCTCATATAATAAAATTTTTAGTAAACTTTTTATTAAATTACCATGCAACTTAAATCTAGCTTTTTTCTTAATATTTTTAACAATATAATAGATATATAATAAATAATATACTTGAAGATAGATAGCCTATATAGTAGCAATTACTATAGGATCACAATCTGTAAAAATTACTTTAAAATATACATTATTAACTAAATTTAATACACATTGAAAAATTTATAAACAGCTTGAATTTTATATTTAATTAGAGCCTGCTTAACGATCCTTATTTTAAAGTTATTATCAATACAAACAAAAGACTAAGAGTCATATTATAATAATTTGTTTTTGCTGTATTATTATGAATAATTACATTATGAAATTTTAATCACAAATTATTATATTGTTAACCAGTCATCCAGAAAAGACCTGTAAGTTTATTATTTACATCTTCAAAATGTAGTATAACAACATATTCTTGATCTTTATTACACTGTTTTAAGAGATATAATAATATTTTAACAGTATCAAATTTATTGTGAATTTGTATATCCCTAAACTTATTGATAGTATTATATAGGTCTTTCTTCTTAATATTATATTCTGAAAATTTGCTAATAAGAAGATTATACTGTTGACTAGCGCTTAAATAACTAGAAATAGTATAATGTTCAATTTTATATAAAATTATTTGAGAAAGTTTCAAATTTTTCAGAGCTAAATCAATAATCTCTGAATTGCATTGATAATTATGATAATCTAAAAACTGTGTAAACTTTATAATACTTAAATGTCTTTCAAGATAAAAATTCACATGCCATAGACAATTTGTTTTTTCTGAAACACTATCATAATGAATATTAATATCTTTGACCTTCTTTACCTGATTTATGCCAAATTTCCAATAAATATATTCTTAACATTGAATAATAGACTTATCAATAGGATCAATATTCTTACAATTTTTATTAACAACAAAACTATGATTTTTTTGCAAATACTTTAACAGCAATATGAACAGAATTCCAATTACCAAATATATCTTCAACCTGGAGTTTTATTTTATTTGTATAACCTTATTTAGCATTATTCAAATCATTATTACAAGAATTTGAAGATTTGCATAATAAACTAAAATCTATAATTTATGATAAAATTAATAAATGAAACTTAATGCAAAAGATTAAATATTTAGTGAATAAAGTGAACAAGAGAGAAAAGGTTTAAAAAAAAGTTTAATAAAAGTCTAATGTATATAAATAAAATATTACATCATTATTATATTATTCATATTATATCATAGTATCATATAATATTAGTGATAAATGCTAGTAGAAATACGTATCAATATTTTTAAATTTAAATATATTTTATTTTAAAAATCATATTTAATAATTAAAATAATTTTTTTTTAATAGTTTCTCATTATATTATAAAATGTTTAAATTTAAAAATTAATATAATATTTTTTTATTATTTCTTATTATTTAATAATTTAATTATTTAAATAGTTAAGAAAATAAAATTATAATTTTTTTAATATATTTATTTAAATATAATCAATTTTATATATTACTATTTTATAATAACTTTATTTTGTAAATATATTTTATAAGTTAAAATTATTAATAAATTTATATAAAAAATTCTCTTTTATAATTATTTTTTACAATTATTGATTTTAAAAGATATAATTATATAAAAATTTAATTTTATTATTTTAATTATTATAAAATTTATTATTTTGTAAATAATTTTATAATAAATTTTTTTACAATTAAAAATTAATTATTGATCATAAAAAATAATAATTAATCAATATTTGAGTCAACTATTTATTATAAATTTCTTAATAACATTAATTTTTATTAATTTATAAAAAAATTTAATAATAATTAAAAAAAAAATAGATATTATTAAAACGTCTAAAGCATTATTAAAAATAATTAGTAATAATAAAATAAATATTACATATATAATATAATATAAATTTAAATAGAAATATTTAATATTTATGTTTAGATAATATGATATTATATATTTTTTTAAACTTTTTCTAATAATTAAGATGTTATTTATTAATTTTTTAAAAATTATTTTTTAATAGTTTAAAGAGTTATTTTTTAGTATTTATAAAATTAGAAATTTATAATAATAATCTAATAAAACTTAAATATAATTTTATATAATAATTTTAACTAATCTTTACAAATAAATTATTTTTCTATTAATAAAAAGCATAATTTATACTTTAATTAAAGTAAATTATTTTTTATATTCTAAATAAAATTATTTATTAAGCTTAAAACTAATTAACTTTAAATTTTTATTAAATTAATTAATTTTTTTTCTAATAGTATTTATTAACTTATAGATTATTTTTTGTTTATAATTTAAATGTATAATTTAATTAGTTTAATTAAAATAAATTATCTTTAATATTATAAATTAGGAAACGTTTTAGAAACTATTATTAAATTCAAAACACAGTATAATGAAAGAAACAAACCATATATCAATTCAAATTTTAAGTAGGCAGACAAATAAATATGTGTATAGTTAACTCTTAATATAGCGAACTCTTGATATAACGAAAATTTTGAACAAATATAATAAAAATACTCTTGTTTTAACGAATTAGCCAATCAAATCTCTTAAAATTTTTACTATAGCCTTATAGCGAAGTTGAGATCTAGGATATAGAGTTCGTTATAACAAGAGTTGATTATAATTATAACATTATAATTAAAGATAGTTTCTATAATTATTTTCAAATTTCAATTGAATTAAAACTTAATTACGCTATAAGAAAATTTAATTGTGCCATAAGTTATAACTCAATTATGTCATTTTTTTAATTATAATAACCATTTTTAATTAAAATATATATAGTCCTTTATTTTACTTCAGACTAATAATATTATAATTAAGTTTATTACTAAAATTTAATCTAATACTTTTAAAATAAATAATATTTTATAAAAATTTAATTTTATTAAATAAATTTCAAAATTTTTTTATATTTTAACAATATAAATCAAATAATATTTTAAATAAAATTTTTAATATTAAGTAAAAATTAAAAAAAATTATGTAAATTAATAAATAAGATTTAAAAATTTGTTAAAATTTATTAAAATTTATTAATAAATTTGTTTATAATATTATATAAACAGACCTCTTTGTATTGATATCTTATACAGTCTTTCTTTTTTATAGTTATACCTCTTAAGACTAAAAATAAAAATATAATTATAATAAAAAGTAACTATATAAGAGAAATTTTTATAAATTATTAATAAATATTAGTTTTGAAAAGGTGTAACTATAAAAATACTGTGATTATAAAGGGGTTTTTTTTATAATATTAATAGATATTAGTTCTTACAAAATATATACTTATAATGAGGGATTTATATAATATGATTGTATAGTCTACAATTATAGAAAAGGATGACTATATATTGATAATTGCACATACTAATAAATTTTTTATATCCCATTTCACAATTAATAAAAATCTTTTTATATTAATATTACATATCATTTTACAATGTAATTTGTAATAATAATTTCTTGGTTTCTTATAATTAATATATAATAAGATTATATTAGCATATGTATTTACTTAATTTGTTGTAATGTATTTTATTTGTATTATTAATTATGTTTTAATTACAAGAAAAAAGAAAGTTAATTCAAGATACTTCTCAAATAAAAAAAGAATTGTTATAACTAATATACAAAAAAGATAAGTTTGTTTAGATTATTAAAAATGCTACAGTCTATTTAAGAAAACTTGTCACTTTATATAAAATTAAATAAAAAAACAGTTTTTGATATTTTAAAAATAAAGAAAGTGATTGAGTGTAAATCTAAACTCAAAAGAATCAAATAAGTACAAAAAAAAGTCTATTTATTTTCCTTAAATAAAAGAGGTTCTTTTATTATGAATAACTAATACACTTACTGCAGACTTATTATTAATACTGATATTATATATGAAAAGCAGCAGTTTGAAGTTAATAATTTTATAGTTTCTAATAGATTTAAAATATAACATAATTTAAAACAATATGTTAAATAGGATAAAGCAAAAAGTATACTATTAGAAATATTAGATAAAGAAAAATTTTACATGAAATTATTAAAAATTATAATTTAAAAATAAACATTTTTTGTTTATTTTTAGAATTGTATTAGGATCTTAAAACCTTCAAAAACATTAGTACAAGGTTTACTTTCTAAATCTAATTATCAATGTCGGCAAAAAAACAAAATTTTCGTTCATTTTTAAAAATATATCTGATATTTGATGAACACCCACGCGTCCCTTTTACATTAGGACAATATCCGTATCTGACTTTACAATTAGGTAGTGTTTATCAAAAATTGGAGGACACGCGTCATGTGACGTGAACTTCTTACAAAAGTAAAAATTATTAAGCGAATAAATTTGGAAGAAATTTTCGTGTTAGTTGCGCAACGAATGAAAAATGTCGACTTTACGATTTTTCTTCATTTTGTATTCACGACGTCCCGTGATAATACACGGAGTATAAGTGACGTTATTCTTCTTCTTTCATCCTGCACTATCAGTAACTCTCACAAAATATATTCTAATAGCTTTCCTCCTTTAAGCGATCAACAATCTATGGAAGTTCAAAGCTTAGGACTGGTTAAAGAAAAACAGGTGAGCATAATTAAGAGCTTTAATTACGAACATGATGTCTAACAATATATAAGTTTTAATTAAGTTCAAACGAAAATTGACTTACGATCAGTTAATATTTTCGATAATCTACAACTCAAATTTTGAATCTTTATAACAATTTGACAAAGAATACAACAGCATGACAATGCCGAAAAAACTTAGCATTTTTATATTTTTGGAAATACTACAATATTAATGTGTTTAATGTAAAGGGTCAACACCTCTTAAAGTTTCCTCTAATTTCAATCTATATTCTGTCACGAGCTCTTGTTCCCTGTTTTTCATTTCTTTATCATAGTCCTTCTTCGCTTTGTTTATCTCTTTTAGAAATTCTTTTCGTTCTGCATGATAAGGATCTGATTTGTTTTTACTATTCTGAATACATTAAAGAATTATAAGTACCTAAAGCAAAAAAAAAAGACCTTTGCAATTGAAAGGGGGGAAACTGCCGGAAAAAAATCAATTTACTTTTATAAGCCAAATATGATTTTTAGGTCAAAATTGTTCAGATTTTAGCATTAATTCATTTTTATTTTTTCCAGCCGTTTCCCTCCATTTCTATTGCAAAGGTCCATATTATCATCAAGTTCCTAACTCACTTGTCTTAATTCTGTTAATTCAGTTAGCAATGTTTCAAAAGCTGGTTTCGCAACTTGTACTTAATAAAGTTATAATAGAAGAAATGATCGTTTTTAAAATTTCTGAATATTTTAAAAAAAAAAAAAAATGCAAGTTCCAAATAGTTTACAAACATTTGTCATTAACACCGCTCAACTTTTTACTTAGAGAAGCTACACCATCGGTATATTTATCGGGAGCATCTTGCGCATAGACGATACACTTTTGTAAATTGGTATTTTCGCGACCATTCCTATCCGACTAAAGAAAAAATTAATTTAATATTCAATAGTTACTTCAAATATGAAATTATTCAAATTTACCTCAAACTCTCGCACAAATGTTTTTATCTCTTTGTCGACACTTTCTTTAGGATGATTGAATATGGTTTCATAAAAATCACTTATATCTATTTAACAATTAAATTTATCTATTAATTTTATGATATTATCATTCTAAAGACGTTTTGATCTTTATCTTGCCTTGAACAATGTTTTTTGTTTCGGGTTTATACATTTCGTTTGAAAAAACGGAAAAATTTGAATTACATAATTTGCATGCAGATCAAACAAGTTAATGACGTGTGATAAACATACATACACATCGCATATAGTATAAATATCGATTTAAAGTTTTTCTTGATCGAATTTCTTTTCTTTTTTTTTTTTTATAAAATGTCAAGTAATGAAAGGCAACCAAGTCCTTCTTCAAATATATTTTTAAAAAAACGTGGCTCTAATGTCGAGAAGAAACGCCTTAAAACACCTTCTGAACGTAAAAACGCTAAAAAGCAAAAACTTGAGAGTCCACAACATTCGATAATTAATGATAAAGAGACCATTGGAGAGTTTAAAAAGAGGCCTAAAAAGGAAATTCAGCAAGTGGCTTCTAATGATGCTATCGAAGAAATGAAAATTAATAAAAATTCTTATGATTCTAATACTGAGGTTATTGCACCCGAAACCGTCGGAAACTCTATTCAAGAAGAGGAGGAAGAAATCACCGAAGATGTCTTTTTACAAGATTTTGTAGCTGATTCGCAATATGATGAAATAATTCAACCTTCTCTAACTCCGGACATAAAACAAATACATATCCCAAAAGTCATTCCTCATGATTCCATACATCCCGTTGTAGCCGACACTTTTGAACAACAGGCTATTATCGAATCATCAGTTACCTATTTATCAAACAATAATACAACAGGAGAAAAGGTCATTCTCAGTCACCAGGTAAATTAATAATTAATTTTTCAGTTTATATGAATAAAATTAATGCCTTGTTTGTATTATAGGTTCGTCATCAAGTAGCCCTGCCACCCAATTATCCCTATATACCTATTTCTCAACATGTCCCACTGGCTGAACCTGCTCGTAAGTATCCCTTTGAATTGGATCCATTTCAAAGGGTCGCAGTCTCTTGCGTTGAAAGGAACGAATCCATCTTAGTTAGTGCACATACATCAGCTGGTAAAACTGTTATAGCAGAATATGCTATAGCACAAGCACTAAGGGAGAAACAAAGGGTTATATATACAAGTCCAATAAAAGTAGGTTATTATACTTATGTTTATTTTTCCATTACTTCTTATATATGTTTATATATTTCTTGCTTTATTTTAGGCATTAAGTAACCAAAAGTTTAGAGAATTAGAATCTAAATTTCATGATGTAGGATTGATGACTGGTGATGTGACTATCAGACCTGATGCAAGTTGTTTAGTGATGACTACAGAGGTATCGTATTTTCAAATCACATATCTTTACATGTTAATTATTATAACATTATACGAATTTTTTTTTGTAATAAAAAATATTATTAGATTTTACTTCTTATGCTTTATCGAGGGAATGACCTTATTATGCGCGAAGTATCATGGGTTGTTTTTGATGAGATTCATTATATGCGAGATAAAGGTAAATAAAGTTTTAAAAAATGTAGTTGTCTAAACATTTTATTCAATCTTTAACGAAAAAACTTTTGTATCTAGTACGAGGTGTTGTCTGGGAAGAAACAATTATTTTGTTACCCCATCAGGTCCATTTTGTATTTTTATCTGCGACTATTCCAAATGCAATGGAATTTGCAGAATGGATCTGTAAAACACATGCTCAAGTAAGTAATTAATATTTCGAGTATTAAAAGATTAGTACTAATACGATATTTTTGTATATTTAAATTATAAGCCATGTCATGTTGTATATACCGATTTTCGACCTACTCCATTACAACATTATATTCATCCTAGCGGAAGCAATGGAATATTTATTATTCTCGATGAAAAAGGGAATTTCAATGAAGATAATTTCAGAAAAGCGACCGGTTTGTTACAACAAAGAAATTCTGATATTGAGTATATTAATACCAAGAAAAAACCAAAGCGAAAAAAGTTTGAAGAATCTTCCAAGAAATCAAAAAAGTTGAAAAAATCAAAAAAGTCGAAGGATTCAGGATCTGATCACCTCGAGGATTCTGATGAACCTAAGGAAGTTATTGAGACAAAGGATACAAAGGAAATAAATGAACCCAAAGAAGAAATCCCTGAAAAAGGTATGATAATATATATATATATATATATTTTACCAAATTTGTAATTTTAAGATGAATTTATTTATTATTTAGAACCTTCTGATATTCGAAAAATTGTTAGGATGATCATGCAAAATGACTTTTATCCAGCCATTATTTTCAGTTTTGGAAAGCGTGAGTGTGAGAACAACGCACTTCAAATGGGAAAAGTAACTTTAAATAATGGTAGGTTATTTAATTTTGAACTAATTATCTGAATCTTCTAATGATTATAATAATAATGATGATTATGATGTTTGTAATTAGAGGAAGAACAATCATTAGTTCAACAAGTTTTTGATAATGCACTCGAGACACTTTCTGAAGAAGACCGTAATTTGCCACAGATTGAACATTTGTTACCATTCCTAAAACGAGGGATTGCATTTCATCATTCAGGCTTATTACCTGTATTAAAAGAGATTGTTGAACTACTTTTTCAAGAAGGTCTTATAAAAATATTGTTTGCGACTGAGACCTTTGCGATGGGATTGAACATGCCGGCTAAGACGGTTGTCTTTACCGATGTAAAAAAGTTCGATGGGCAAGTCAACAGATATGTGAGTGACGAATTTGATTAAAATACTTATCGTGTATTAGCTGTTTGATGTACCCATTAATTAATTTAAATTCATAAGATCACATCGGGAGAATATATTCAAATGTCCGGTCGCGCTGGTAGAAGAGGTATTGATGTAAAAGGGATTGTTATAATAATGGCTAGGGAAAAAATGGATCCTACGATTGTTAAAGGAATAATTACGGCAAGTATATTTTGGATTAGTTTTTTTTTTTTTTTTTGTTAACTTAAAAAGCTTTCTGAATATTCAACATTTTCAATGTTCTTTCTTTTTATTTAATTTTATCACTACAAATATTTACTTGTAGGGTGAATCAGATAATCTTTATTCCGCGTTTCATTTGAAGTATAATATGATTCTAAACATGACCCGTGTTGAAGGAATTAGTCCCGAATATATCCTTCAGCGAAGTTTTTACCAGTTCCAAAATACTGCTTGCTTACCTGCACTTGAAGAAGGTAAACATTTTTATTTAAGTTTATTCAATTACGCTAAGTGAATTATTACAATCTTTTTACTTCATCATTGCACAATAGAGTTATTACGATTAGAAACAGCTTATGCGTCTTTTGAGATATCTGATGAAGCTACTATCGAAGAATATTATAATATTCGAAAACTTTTAGACACTTATGCTCATGACATGCGTCGGGTTATTAGTCATCCGATCCACAGTTTGCAATGGTTGAAACCAGGCCGATTGGTATCGATAAAACATGCAGATATGGACTTCGGATGGGGTATGGTCGTTGCTTACGGTAAAAGAAAGGTAAATTAATTTACAGCTATTTTCACAAGTCACGGGACACCGATTATATTCAGGATTTTCTGAGAACATTATAAGGATTTGGAAAAGCCATCCACATTTTTATGGTAAAAAAATTTGTGCCCTCTATACCGAGTTTTTTTCATCGATCGGCCGTCCCGTGACTTCAAAATTAGCTGTAATCTTTTTATTTTTATCTTTTGCTTTTGTTTATAATTATGAAATCTGATTTAAATTAACAATTATTTTTTGAATCAGGATACAAGGAATCTAAATGTTCTAAATAAAGTGACGTCTGCGTCTTTAACAGCCGAAATAAAGGATAATACAGATAAAGAAATTCAAGAACCTCAAATCCTATCACCAGAACAATATTTCGTTGATGTGTTGCTCAATTGTGAACCAAATTCTATTGTTGCAAAATCCGCTGAAGGAAAGACCACCGGTGTTAGACCTTGTAAAGAAAATGTAATGGGCGAAGTTATGGTGAGAATACATATCATCAAAAATTATTAACTGTATTTTATTTAGCATTATTGATTCGATCCTTTAAACACATACAGGTTGTTCCTGTTGAATTATCTACAATACATTGTATCAGCTCCATTCGTATATTTCCGCCTAAAATTCTTACCCATAAGAAGATTAGAAATAATCTATATGAACAAATTCAAAAAATAAAGAATTATTTTCCGGATGGTATACCAATTCTGGATCCTATAGAAGACATGCACATTCGAGATGAAGATTTCCGAAAGTTGATTCGGGTAAATTATCATTGTTATTTATTATCTATGAATTTTTTGATTCTTATTTAATTTAATTACATTTTAGAAAATTGAAATTCTTGAAGCCAAGCTTTTTGCCAACAAACTTCATAAAACACCGGAGCTTCCATTATTATATGACCGATATGCTCAGAAATTTGCACTATCTAATAGTATCAAAAGTTCAAGGAAAAAGATAAATGTAGCTAAATCTATATTACATCTCGATGATCTGAAATATCGAAAACGATTATTAAAGCGGCTTAAGTATTTGACAGGTGAAGATGTCGTATCGTTAAAAGGGCGTGTAGCTTGTCATATCAACGCTGGAGATGAATTAGTCATTACTGAAATGTTGATGAATGGCGTCTTTAATGATTTGACTGCAGAACAAATAGTTACTTTATTAAGCTGTTTTGTATATGACAATGGTGATAAAAAACAACATACACTCAAAGAAGAGTTATACGTGCTTTATTGTAAAATACGGGAAGAGGCACGTAATATAGTTGCAGTCTCTAGTGAGTGTAAGATAAATATTATTGAAGAAGAATACCTCGCGACTTTTTGTCCCGACATGATGGAGCCCGTATATTCATGGTGTCAAGTTAGTATTTGCTATTTGTTATTTAAGTACATTAAATATATTAGAGATTTCTCTAACCTAGATATTTTTATTAATAATATAGGGAAAATCATTCGCGGAGGTCATGAAAATTTCTGATTCCATGTTCGAAGGTCATGTTATTCGAACCTTTCGTATGTTGGATGAATTGTTGCGAGGAATGGTTAACGCGGCGAAGGAGATAGGCGATTTAGGGTTGGAAGAAAAGTTCAAATTGGCCATTGAAAAGACCAGGCGTGGTATAGTTTTCGCCGCATCTTTATATACCTCTTAATAATTTATATTTACATTATAATTTAAAGTGATTGAAATTGTAATAAAGCAGCGTGATAATTTTTTTTTTTATTTATTTTAAAAATAAACTGATGTAATGTCACTTAGCATCATACTTTATGGCACACGGCATTGTCAACGGAAATTTTTATTACCAAAAATTTAGTTTTATAATGTTTCACTTGTTATTTGCATTTTTTTTCTTGGTATCAAAACTACTCTCTATATATAAATAATTATCCACTTTCAATTTTTGATTATTAACAGCATTAAATGATATAAATCAGCCAATGTGTTAATGTTTGTCAATGGTTACTTGTTAACAAACTGAACAAGCAACAGGAACTTATGCATTGATCAGCTCAGGGACCAACCAATGTGTTCAGTGACATCCTATTGTTAACAACTGAACAAGTAACAGGTGCTTATGTATTGATCAACTCAGGGACCAGCCAATGTCAGCAATGAACAGTGAACATCCTTTACAGATTCCATGTTTGTTATTAATGAAACAACATAAGACACAGAAATAAAGTAATACCTCAAAATCAGATAATAATTCTTGAGCCTTTTTCACAGTAGAAAGCTTGTATTAATAATATCTTTAAGTAACAACTTCCAGGACTTCATTGTCTGAGAAATCAGAAAACTTTGACCTCCAACCTAGGAAATTAACAAGCGACCAATCTGACAGTTCAACTTCATTAAAGTAATTTATTTTTGGAATTTTCTATTACAAAGAATAGGATTATAATATTGTAAAAAAATTAAAAAAACGCGTAAAGTTTGATACTCACAATGTTCATATGCGAAAAATTTTATATAAAAAATAGCGGAGGGGAAGTTTAGTGTTTTTCTAATTCCTTTTTTTTACCTTTTACTTACAGAGTAAGTAAATAAAAGAAAACAAAGTAAAAAATTTTTTTCTCTCACGTATAAATAGTAAAAAATAAAGGGTAAGAGGAGTACATATCAAACTTATCAAAGTTAAAAAAAGGTCTTATATAAACTACTCTAATCCTTTAATCAATTATGCAAACCATGTGTAAAAAAATTCTAACAGAAGATATGACATGGGAATAACAAATAGTAGTCTTTACTATTGACACTCTCATAACTTTGAATTTTTCTTTACTTTCCAGCTCTTCAATATAATCGTAAAGCAAATAATATTTTTTTTACTTTCTCGTCTATCAATCTACCATTTTTACCATTACATAGGCTCAAAATCAAAGAAAAAACGTGTAAAAAAGTCTTTTGAAATCTATGATTTCATATCATGCTAATGATACATGTGAAGCTGATTGTAGATCTAATTATTTCAACAAAAAGATCTACTTTTATTACGTAAATAATGATAAGTTGATCGCATAATAAAATTTCCTGCATGAAAAAGAAGTTTCAAATATAGATTGGTTTTATTGGACATAAACAGCTAAAGCAGTAATACTTATTTCCTGATCATGAATGAAGTGAATTTATTGGGAGATTAAGTTAGCAAAATAATATATAATTTCTTTTTTTCTCAAATCTAAGAGATAAAGGAAGGCAGATAAAAAGATTTACTATCAACTTTTTATATAATTTCTTGGAAATATGCTTTTGGAAAAATTACGTTAATATGATCAATGCATTCTCCATTCATGTGACTGATTGCATATTTAAATATAACATATGATATAATCATGTAAAAATATTTATGTCTTTGAAGTCATATATTATATGACTAAATGTTATAAGTCATTAGATTTACTGATCCTAACAGATTTTCATATAATAAAACTAATTTTAGTAAAATTTTGCATGTTATAATCATTTTACTAAAAGTTTTGTTATAATAAAATGATGTTTCTATTATTTAATGAAATTAAGGAAAAAAAATCAGTTAAAATGGATAGGTATAATTAATTAATCATAAGGTATACACTGGATTGAAAATTTATTAATCCAATCTAATTGAATTTGTGAATTCATCTATAGATTAACTAATTCAAGTCAGATATAACGAAATTACTAAATAATTACTATATATTGCATCTGAACTCATTTTAGTTAGCCAAGTATATTAGATATATATTTAGTATACCGAACTGTCATGTGATTTAATGTGGCTTAAAGAACGCGTCATCATTATTTGCGTAATTATTTTTCCTATTTCATTAGTCTATTTCAGATAAATTTTTCAAAAGTTCCTGATAATGCTAACAAAAAGAAAAGGAGCTAGTCTTACTACTAAACAAAAGTGTAAAATTTGTGAAATTAAAACAAAATAGCCTAACTCCTCAAAATGTAAAACTTGCACAACAATATAATGTTGGAAAATCTACAATTACCAATATTTTGAAAAAAAGTAAACATTAGCTTACAGTTACAAAAAGCCAAGAAAATACTAAAAAATTTTATGAATCCAAATGGCTTCAACTTAAAGATACATCAGGTTTTTAAGTTGATAATGTGCTTAATACAAAATAAGACATTGATAGCAATATCTTAAAAGTAAAGGCAAGTTATTTTACCAAGCAGTTTTCTATAAAAGACTTCTATCATTCAGAGGGTTGGTTAGATAGTTTCAAGAAAAAACATAGTTTGTGTCAATTTAAAAGTAAAATAAAGCTAAAAGTGCACTTTCAGCTGAATCGATAGAAAGTGATTGTCTTACTTTATAACAATTTCTTGCATCTTATGATTCTGAAGATATTTAGAATGGTAATAAAACTGATTTATTTTAAAAAATAAAACCTTCTAGAATTTTAGTGTGTAATTCTCTATCAAAGTATAAAAAGAAAAATTTTACATTACAATATTTTGTAAAACAAATGCAACCAGTAGTGAGAAATGATACCAACATTTATTCATAAATATAAAACTTTTCATGTCATAAAAAATATTAATTACAAAAATTTTCCAGTCTATTATTTTTAGAATAAAAAAGTATGGATGCAAGTTAGTATCTTTAATGAAATCCTTTTTAAACTTAATGAAATAATAAGACAAAAAAGATAAAAAATAATTTTTTTAATTGATAATGTACTAGTACATCTTATTTTAGATGAAACTAAAAAAAAGTTGGATAATGTAAAGGTAAAATTCCTTTCACTAAATACTACTACTAAACTTCAGCCTTATGATGCAGAAATAATTCATTCTTTTAAATGCCATTACAAATGCCTTTTTATTTTGAATAGGATTAATGCATATGATGATATGTAAAAGTATATTGTGAAAGAATTTGCAGATTATACTATTTATGATGCTTTACAAAATGATTGAAATATAGTTAATAATATTTTTTCAAACAATCTCAAATTGTTAAAAGAAAACAGATATCCTTTCTGAAGTTAAAGAAATTCTTGATAATGATTCAATATTTTGTGATGATAGGTATATAAATTATATTAATATAATCTTTTAAAAACATTTTTAGCTAATGATAATTTTTGTAAAATTCTAATATATTAGACTTGATATAAAAATTAATGAACTTAAAACGTTAATTTCTCTGCTTCCAAATGGTGATCTTAATGTATATGAATTTCTTCATATTGAAGATGAAATTCTAGAGAAAGGGCTTACAGATTTTGAAATAGTTGATATTGTATAAAATATAAATAAGAAAGAAGATATAGCAGATGAGAATGAATTTACATCTATATTGAAAAAAGTAATTTCAACAGAAGCAGAAAAGTTATAGATAAAACTATGAAATTTTTATATGAATAGTGATCAGAATTTAGGGATGTAAATGAAGAGTTAAAGATTTTAAGGAAATTACATAAAAAAGTAAAATTATTAGCAGTAAAAAAATCTTAAACAAGTCAATCTTTATTACTTTCAATATGATATTAACATTTAAATAAAATTATTATAATATATTATGCATTTATTGCATTTTAAATATGATCATTATGTGGTAAGTTTATATACAATTTAAATTTTATTGGGTAAATTTATATACTGAACAGTTCGATATATAACATGAATCTTATATATTAAATTTATTAAATATTAAATTAAATCTATTAGAATAGCTAATTTTTTATATCTAGTGATAACCATAGTAAGTTTAGGTGCAGTTTATTTATTTTTAAATTTTTATCGATAAATAATTATCAACAAAATTTCTGATCTTATGATTTACTGAAAATCTTTATATTATTAATCATTATTAAATCATGTGTTGAACTATTATTAAAGCAAAATAATTACATATCTACACAAATAAAATTGAATTATTATATTACCTGAAAAAAATTATTAGTTTATTTGAATACTTTGAATTGCAAAAATGAGTAAATAAAACATTACAGTCGATCCCTTCTATAGTCACCTCTGATATAGTCACTCCTTCTATTTAGTCACACTATTACTTAGTCCTAAACTTTTTTATATAGAAATGTCTTCTTTATAGTCACATATATATTATATATATAATCACACTAATTATTAGGCCTGATTTCATAGTAAATATAATAAATTTTCTTCTTGTATAATCACAGTAAATATTTTGCCTCTATATAATCACAGTATATCATATGTATTTTGATCTTTGTATAATTTGATGATCTATTATATAGATACGCGCAGTTTATGCAGTTTGCATAACTTATTATTATCAGTTATAATACTATCAGAAAACTAAAGCAAACTCATACTGGTATTAGTGTTGATATTAAGAAAGAAATCTGTAAATATATAACTGTAAATTTGACTGTAAACTAGAGTGATGTTACAGTATTTTTTAACACGAAATATTAAAAATTAAATATTAATAAAACAACTATTAATAAAATATAAAAAAGTCGTGAAAAGTGGCTTGCTATTTTACCTTCTTTACAAACTTTACAAATTTTTCATTATCGTCCTGTTCAATTTTCAGATCTTAATAAAGCTATGCAAATCTGGATCTCACAAGCAATAGCTGCTGGTATTCCTTTAACTGATATGATATTATAGCAAAAAGAACTTGAATTTGCTAAAATATTAAATATTGAAGACCAGTTGAAATGTACTAATCACTGGGTATATAGATTTAAATTACAAAATGGTCTTCAAAAGAT